GCCTGTTTTAGAAATATTGGTCATCATAAGAGGTAGCTTAAGGTCAGGATGTAGTTGTTTGATGTTAGACAGCTGATTAGGGTTAAATTGTACTCCAGGTTTCTCTATTCCTTTGTTCAAAAGCCATTTTCAAATAATTTTTCACTATTATTTTTAGAGATTCCAATCATCAAATTGTAGACCAAAAAAAATTATACTAAATTTTCTTTTAAACCTTTCAGATCAGAAATCAGATTTCAAAGTAACCTTGGATTATCTGACCCCAGCTTTGAATAACCTGGCCCATATCCGTATACTTATTCATCAGTGTTGTTTTTTGTATACAGGAAAACAGGATACAAAAAGAAATTGAACTCATTCATTCAGTTTCCAGATAATCTTGATATGACAGAACATGTCAAGAGTGGAGGCTCTGGTAGGTAACTTGATGCACATTTTTTCAGAATTTTTTTTTTAATTCCAATAACAGTTAGTACTGGTTTACGTTCATTGTTGTTTTTTTTTTTGGAATAGGATCTAACCATGAGTATGAGCTGAGTGCAGTTTTGATGCATTTTGGAGTCAGTGCGTATTCAGGACACTATGTAGCACACATTAGAGACAAGAAGGTTTGTAAGTCCTTTTGCAAATCATCTAGCACTGCAGCATGAACGGCAAAGACATCAAGATTTCAGACAGTGAGTGAAGTGATCATGTACAAGGTCTGTGGGTGGTCTGCCAAACCTCCTGTAGACTTCTTGCATGCTTGCTTTACATGCCCACTTGTGTTGTAGTGCCAGTGCAAGCATGCTCTCAGCCTGCAAATTATCCTACACTCCAAAACTGACCTGCAAGGTGCTGTAATCTCAAGAACAGGCACAACTGTTGATGTTATGTTGCAGCATCACTGGTATACATGGGAAAGGAGGGTTAGTTTGTTTGTGTTCAGCTGGAGGTTTTGCCTGAGTATGAATATAATACAACACAATGTTTTGTATCAATAGTCTGGATCATGGTACAAGTTCAATGATGAAGACATTGTTAAGATGCAAGGAAAGTTGAAGCTTTCTCAGGATGAAGACTCAACAGGTTTTGTTTCCAGTTGTTCTTAACTTCTAAAACTAACAGGAGAGGTTTCTTTTGAATTTTTTTAGCATGGTTCAGTTTCCTTCAATATGAGAAACTGATTGCTCAGTCATTCCATAATTTTACTTTGATTTTCTGCATTTAACCTTTCAAATCCCAGAAGTGATTAACATGTAGTTTCTCCCTATAATATCCATATATTATACAGCAAACAGGTAATGGGAATACTCAAACATATCAAGTAGAAGCTGTTCTCTTAAATGAACATTAAATTCAAGGAAATTTATAGCAGCTAGAAAGGAGAATTGATGATTAAATCATTGAGGGTTAAAGAGTAAACAGGTTTACTTGTAATAACTGTTGATGCACAGAATTAATTTTTATCTTCCCTGGTTTTTGATAGTAGATTAGGCAAGTACCAAACATGTACTGAATATTCTAAACCACAGTAAGTTATTATCTTTGATCTTTAATCTTTCATTTGTTTGTTAAAGATATATATATTTTTTCTCCCTTTCAGACACCAGCCCTAAGCCTGCTAAAAGGCCAAAATGTGCTCAAGGATTTCATGTGTCAAAAAATGCATACACTCTGGTGTACACTTTGAAAGGGCATAAAGGTGTAGGTAAGATGCTGCAACTAGTGTTAAAAGTAGATCTTCCTTTGTAAAGTTCAGAGGTTTTCAGATTTTTGGTTACAAGTTAAGGGGGTTTTAAATATTCATTTTATTGAACTGATTTGTAAAATTATTTAGGTCAAACATGCAGTCTAGTTGAAATTCTTCTTGAGATTTTTCATTTTGTCTATTCATACAAACTTGTGACAATCTTGGTATGAAATAATGCAAAAAGTTTATTGCTATGTAACATTGATATCGTCTTTCAGTATGGAATAATTACAGTTATTATTAATCTACTACTGCGTTAATATTAAATTATTATTAAATTGTTGTAATTGTCATTATTATCATTATTATCGTTGTTAAAGGAAGTGAAGATGATGATGTCGAAGTCCCACCTCACGTACTTGAGTTAGTTGCCATGGACAACAGTTTATTTGAACACTGGGTTACGCAGGTCAAGACATTTCGTGTAAGAAAATATTACGTGTATTGTGCGCCCATATTGTAAATCAGAGCAATTTTTCTCTCTTTCTGTTTTGCAAAGGCCTGGAGACACTGTTGTTACTTATGGACTGAACAAATATAGAGCAATTTTCAATTGAGTTTCGGAAGTAATCTGGAATTGCTTTTACTTTGCTTTACTTCGATATGGGATTAGTCCAGAAAACTCGTGCCACCTTCTCAACCAATCAGATTCAAAAGTAACACTAATTACGACTTAGTTGCTGCCATTTCCCCGCGCTTTTGGTCGTTTACTTGTTTTTACTGAGTTCTCATTGGCTTCTCTCGATATTTTCCTCTGTTCTGATTGGCTCTTGTGATTACATTGGTTTCGGTTTACGACACTCAATCGAAATGCGTTCTATCACAAAATTACAAAGCCCACAGCTATTGAATACCTTAACAAAGAAGACTTGGGATGTGAAATTTTCCATAAATAACTTTGGGAAATTTTTCTTTAGCAAAAGCTGATTGCCAAAGGACAAGAAAGTCAAGCTGAAATAAGGAGACTTTATTTAGAAATTCCGGTATCTTCAGGTAAGATCATTTTTATTCAAGATAACAATTGACCTGATAAGTGTATTTCATAGATGAGATACGTTGTGAAGGGCTGGACTCCAATTGACCTCTTAACCCCCAAGAGTGACTGGCTTCTAATTTCTCCTTACAATATCACCCTTGAATCAAACATTTAGTCTATGAGAGTAAAGGAAATGATCACCACTTTAGGAAGCTCCTGATCGTCAAACGAATTCTCCTCGTCAGTAGCATAGGAAATGTAAAGAGGACAGTGCAGAGTATATCAATGCTGGGGGAGTAAAGGGAAAAACGCGATTTAAGAGCAATTTTTTTTTTAACTGAGATTCGACAAAATCCTCGTCTTCATTTGTTTTCTGTCTCTTCGCTTAGTGATTGGTTAAAAAAAAACTTGCCCGCCCCATCAATCAAACAGACGTGAAACTGCAACCAATCAGCGCGCTGTGTTCACTTTGAGTTTTCACTGGATTCTTCTGAAATCATCTTTTGTACTGACTGACCATTTTTTTCGCCTCTCAGGAAAAGACTATGAATGGATTTCTACAAAGTGGCTGAAGGACTGGATGAATGAAAAAACTGTGACTCCGCCAGTGGACAATTCCTCTTTATTGTGTTCTCATGGAAAGTAAGTTGTATCGCGTAGTGTATAAAGAAGGCAATCACCTTTGTATTTCTGTCCTTTGGACTGGAGCAGTTTTCTTTTAAGTGTCGAAAGCCGAACTGCCTCAACTAGGCTTCCCTTCGCTCTGTGATTGATCTAGGGAAAAAAAGCGCCTCTCTGTCAACCAATCAGATGCGAAACTGACATCAAGCGCGTCTTGGTCACTCGTGTTTTCCCGCGCTTCAGACAGTTTGTTCACGTGCGTTTTCCCGCCCTTCAAACAGTGTTTGTGTTCTAAATTTGAGTTCTCATTGGCTTTTGGTCATAATTTCCTCTCTTCTGATTGGCTATTGTGATTTGTCTACTTTCGGTCTTACGACACTCAGTCGATAAGCGCTATAAGTTTTATCTGATTTATTCCTTGACCTGTTGCTTTGTTTATATAACGACAGGCTTGATCCCAATCAAGCGCTTAATGCCAAGAGGATCAACATCAAAGCTGTAAGTTGCCGATTATTTGAAAATACTCTCAATGATTTCTTTTTCACTGCTTGTAGTTAGCGAGCATTCTTATAAGACAATTTGGGAATTAAATGCAGCTTGTTGTTATTTATTTCTTCTTGTCTTCGTAGGCTGACGAAATATTCAGAAATTACGGTGGACTGCCTAGACTTCAAAGGTGTGCTTTTGGGATACTTTTGTTAAACTTTCAGCCGAAACAAATTTTGTTACAATTAATCGAATGTTATTTTAGCCCGCTCTTGTCATTGTTCAGACTGTTTTGCTGTCATTTTTTCAATTTTCGATTTCTTCATGACCTTCAAAGTGATAATGACAGTAACACAGTACATACTCTTTTAACCCTCGCCTAGTAGCTCGGGCTAAAATGACTCTGAGTCAGGCATGAATTACATTTATGCCCGCGAATATAAACTCTATTGTTTTATACCTGAGGCGCGGGAGAACGCGAGTGACCGGGTCCTGTTTGATTTGAGGTTCGCATCTGATTGGTTGACAGGGTGGCTCATGTTTTCTTAACCTATCACTGAGCGATGTTAAGCAAAACTAATGGAATCTCAGAGTCTCTCGACTATCATTTAAAAATTTACCCTATGCAATAGAGTATGTAGCCAAATCACCTTCACAACCTTAATATAAATTTTTTCTTCATCCAGTGATTCTTTGTGTATCAAATGTGTGCAAGAACAGTGTAGGAGAATACGGTTCGAAACTCGGCTGTCTGAAGACTACAAGTTTGTGTCAGACACTTTGAAGTCTCAACAATCCAACAGGTAACTTCTTCTATTTCTTGTGTCGCATAGTAGAAATAAATCAATTTCAAGGGCCACTAAGAAATAAGAACTCAAAAAAAATACACGTAACCAGCGCATAGCGCGGGAAAATTGCCTTCGTCGCTATCACAAAATTTGGTAGTTCTCGGGCCCAGTGCTACTATAAGTTACTTCTAGTTTTCACCGTAATGTTCTCGGTGTTTCTCTCTTTAGCTGTAGCTTTCCTTTCATTCTCAGTGCAAATTATTTTTGGGTTGGTCGGCGGTCGCTTCTTCGATGGAAAGTTTTGGCGAATTACCAAGAGGAGGCACGGCAGAGTTTGATGGACAGTTGTCGAGTTACAGCCAATCACGAAACAGAAGACGACGACGAAGATAAAGCCAGACAGCATGAGAATAATGATATGACCATGACAGAAGAGGCAGGGAAACCACAGACATTGGACGGAGATCTACAGGACCCTGGCGAACAGGAGGAGGAAGACGAAGGAAATTCTGAATTCAATGAAGATTTGCTTTGTGAACATGGTGAGAAAATATCAAGACAATATGATGTAG